AGAGGCGCGGGTTCGATCCCAGCTCTGTGCGCCAGTTTCTGGTCAGAATCGGCGAGGAGGCCGGGCGGTTAAGCACTGCAGAATTGTATAGCAGTGAGTTGCGAGTTCGAGACTGCAAAATGCTGAGAATGTTCTGCGATGTTAAGAATCGGCGAGGAGGCCGGGCGGTTAAGCACTGCAGAATTAATTCTGTTTGAGGTTGTACAGTGCAAATCTGTTGTGGTAAGTCGGGTCGGGGTTCCCCGACCAATATTCTACAGTCAAATTTCCCAAGCGCCAATCTATTTTCCAAGCAGATTATTATCATATTACAGCCAACAAATCTTCGTACAAAATATCAGACACAATAACTATTTTCAAATGGCTTTCCTAACCACACGTACTGGCGAAAATTATGCGAGAATCATGTTGCGAACAGCAGTCTACGGATAGTACTCCAAAGATTTAACTAGGTATCGGCATCAATTTGTTCTGTATGGCATGTATTTTATAAGACTTGTATAATTTATAAAGCTCATCAATACAGCAGTTATTGCTTAAAAACTAACGCCTTGCCCATACATGAAAACGAAGGCACACAGTAATCGATGCCAGGAATATAATTAACGTGGTGAAGATTGTGCGAAACCCTCGAAATCCCATAAGCCTACAGAATCGTTAAAATAAAAATTAGCTGTGGGAAAACTTATATCAAAACAATATAAATTTAATAGATGGCGAATCAATAAATTATCAATGACAGCAGGCGAGGCCACCGAGTTCTTTTTTAGTCACCCTGAGAACTTTCGACCATCGTGGCCGTGATGATAGAGGCTGCGCAACGACAGACAGTTGGACAGCCGGCCGTCGAAATACGCATGCTCGGCCGTATATGATGCCACAAAAAGAGAGCAAAAGAGAATTGTGATGAATTAAACGAACCAAACGAATAAAAAGGGCAGAGAAAATGCCGTGAAGAAACTCCGGTTTATCTTTCACAACAAAGCTTTGGGCGCTGGAAGTGGAGCCTGAATGCAAAGGAATCTTTCAAGTGCTGAACATTGCTGGTCAAACGACGTAACAATGTAGTGCACATTATTATGCTTACTGCAAATAAATTTGTGCGTATTTTCTCTCGGGACATTGCGAGTATAACTTTGCTGACGCAAACAAAGCCCTAAAGTCGTTTGCTGACTTTAGAACAACAGTTCAGTCGTTTGCTGACTTTAGGACAGCAGTTCAGTCGTTTGCTGACGTTAGAACAGCAGTTCAGTCGTTTGCTGACGTTAGAACAGCAGTTCAGTCGTTTGCTGACGTTAGGACAGCAGTGCAGGCGTTTGCTGACTTTAGAACAACTGTTCAGTCGTTTGCTGACGTTAGAACTACAGTTCAGTCGTTTATTGTCGACTTTGTCGTGTAGACGCATAACTTTGGGCGCTGAAATTGGAGAGCCCATCGGTAGATTGTTGGTGTTTGAAAAATCTTACAGCCATTTGCTGGCGTAGACATCAAAACATATATTAACATTTATAAAGAATTTCAGCGATTCCATAACTAAGGAGAATCCATTCATTTGTTTCATGGTATTTAAAAAGCCTTGCAGCCTCTGCAGATAAGGTAACAGTAGTTTTCTCGTCACTAGTCTTGATGACGCGACCATTACCCTGCGTATCACTGATACGGTAATTGCCCAGGGCCTATACTATCAAAAAAAGTTAAGAGATCGTAAGTTCTTCAGCCAATCATTGACGGCCTTTCAAGCAAAGTCCACCAATCATAGACAAGAAAATAGAGCGTAAGTACTTACGTTCACTTAGCGAGTTTTGAAAGTATGGCGGTGCCCTTGTTAGCCTGCGCCACGTCCAGCAATGCGCAAGCTGAGACTACATCCAGCGCCTGTTGCTGGGCCGAGCTTAGCCTCGCGTGCGCGCTTCAAAATGCGAAAGAAAATAGAGCGTAAGTACTTACGTTCACTTAGCGAGTTTTGAAAGTATGGCGGTGCCCTTGTTAGCCTGCGCCACGTCCAGCAATGCGCAAGTATGAGACTACATCCAGCGCCTGTTGCTGGGCCGAGCTTAGCCTCGCGTGCGCGCTTCAAAATGCGCACTGTGAGTGAGATCTGTGCATCGACCGGTAGTTGTCGCTAGTGTGTCGCTCACTAGAAAGTGAAGTAACAACGCCACTTATCTATTGTTCATTCCGTCTTTAATCTCTACACCTTTATAGCCAAGTACATATATAGTGACGGCGATATAATTTGTTTTATTAACTTTGATAATTGAACTCATAAACGTATTTCTTGGATAGTCATCATCTAATTTATTTGTGCTATTTATATGAAAAGCTTTTGATGGAATCAGTCAATTTGTTTGGTAGTGATTTTCAAATTCATCAGATAATATTATACGCAAATGGAGGTATAAACTAAAGGCATTATTACCAAAGTATAATGTTTGACTGCAATGGTCCCGATGGTAACGTAGCCTAGAATCTCACGGCTCGCACCAAGGCCATGGCTACGTCGATGCGTTTCCTGAGAAACGAACGTCGTTCGGCGCACAAGCAATCAAAACAAACGGACGACCTGTCCGTTGCTGTCAGTTGAGCGCGAGAAGTGGTGGGTGGTGGTTGTAGTGCTGGAGTTCAGGGTTAGGTTAAGAGAAGTGCTTGGGTGGGTTGAGAAAAATAACTTATGCTGTGTGTGAAGCATTGTACACTGTAGAGTTCATGTGACACCAATTTAATGCAGTGAATTTTCTTTGTTAAGGGAACTGCAGAAGCTCAGATTGTTGCATGTATGATGTATATTGATAATGTGAACACTATAAACTATAATGAAAAATGTGTGAAGCTCTACTTGTACAAGTGCATTTCTGAAGACATTGTACATACAAACATAAGTTGATGACGAATTCCAGAAAAATTTCATATGCCTGAAAACTCATACAGGGTAGAATTACAGCAATGGTGGTTACTGGTTAGGTCAATCCAGACTTTCAACTCGATCAGTTCTGAAATATAGCTAGAGTAGATATAAATGGCGGATATAGTTTCAGATAATTCGATCCAAAATGTTATGTGCACCTGTTCATATCCGTATGTCCCTTCTTCTATTCCGCCGGTGGAATGGAAAGTGGTGAGCGCTGTTTAAGAATGGGTTTAATTCGTGCATATTGGAACTTCGCTCCTTGGGGTACGTGTACTGACAGTATTTCATACGTTCCCTACAAACATTTAGGATCTTAGTGGCATTTCACATTATTTTAACACACAGTTCGACGTGATGCCTAATTAAAAACTAACGATGATAGCAGGACTTTTGATTCATTCAAGTACCTTTGAAAAAACTTCTTCCGCAGCCCGCCGTTTCCGCTCCTTGATTTCAAAGCCTCAATTAATCAGGCTGAGAAAATATTAGGAGTCGAGCAGAAATCGTCATTTGTCCTTGGAAATCATTATTTATAGTAGTTAAGGAATTTCTTTGGTAAATTTTTCATTTCTACTGAAAAATAGATAATTCCTTCACTTATAATAATCAATTAATTATCAAACCTCAATTTATGCTATGAAAATGCACCAGAATCACAACCTAAAACTTGGCTGAGCAGAGCGGTAAATAAGTCGTGGTGGTCTTAAGACGTTGACCGCCCCGCCTCATCACGCGGCACTCGCGCCACACAACAGCCTGAGCATTAGTCTCTGCCCCGACCACAAAAGCGCTCTCTTGTGGTGGGTGAGTGGAGGGGGAGTTGGGCGAGTCACAATTGCACCGTATTATCTCGGGAAATATTAACTTCTTCAGATAATATCTTCAACTGAGAAAGTACATCGTATTATTTCAGCAGATATTATCTTCTTCAGATGTAAGCCATATATTATTAATTTTTCGGTATATTATATTTAGATATTCTTTAATTGCCCTATAACATTATCTCAGCAAATATCTTGGAGCTCTATTGAAACTTTGGACTTGCCGAGTGTTTCGTAAAGTAACTTACCGTCGTATATTTTCTACGGAACTAATTCTAATTCACGATGTCAATACTACTCGTAAAATCGTTCATGAATGAAGTCAATTGTTTCATTTTAATATCTAACGTGTGCAAATCGATGTTAAAAATCGTGCATCGTCTCCACGCCGAGCGTTTTAAAGAGGATTCAGGAGTGGTAATAAATTTGCAAGTGCACTTACCAAATTGGATCTAAAAGTCTGATACTAGATTTTACTTTAATATGTAGCTGATATTTTTGAAATGTACAAATTACCAGACATGATCAATCTTGAATACATGAACCACCATTTCTAGAATTCCAACCAGTGGTCTGTAATAGAATTCCACCCTGGCTCCCAATAGGCATGCAAGAAAACGTTAAATCATATGATTTTACTGTCATGTTGTAAACATCGAGTCGCGTTGGAAAGCTTGACCTCACACACTGGTTCGCGGCTCTAACAGCACCAGTTTCTCAATATAAAAATTATATCTTCTTTCAAAAACTAATTTTTGGGAATTATTCTTTAAAAATAATAAATAATCGTAACACTTGGTTCATTTATAATTTGATAGTTTTATGACTAATCATCGAATTTTCCATAACAGAAAAGGCAAAAAAGTATTATCACGTGTGCAAAGAAATAGATAAGTATTTGAATGGGTTCATCACAACTCAATTTGTAACAGGTTCATGTGAAAATAGTCCATCACACGAAAATAGTTCATGTGACACTACATTTTACTCGCAGAGAGTTATTTTATTTCAACACCAAAAGCCACGTAGATCGGACATTAGGGAACCCTCAGTATTAGTTCTTCCCTCGGAACGTGAGTATCGTTTCGTTTTCAGTGTTACGAAACGCTCAGTTTGAACGCTGAATAGAAACGCAGTGTTGATGTTTCCCTCGGGAGAAACTGCTAAAATTAAGGACGGAAACTCCCAGTGCTGATGTTAATATTTTTCGGAAATACTTGCTGCCTTCACTCGCCCCTGGGAGTTCGCTGATGTCGTAGCAGCAGCGCGCCATGCCTGCGCAGAGGAGGTCCGGCCTGGAGAAGCCGGACTCGGGGAGGGCGGACGAGCCCAAGGGAGAGAAACTCGTGGTGAGTGCATCGGATGACTCGAGTCTCAGACTCGTGAAGCGTGATACGAGTATGTGTGGTGTGCACTAAATATGCGTGATATGACTTGAATATGTGTAGTATGCTGTGGACATGTGTGGCATGACTTGAATGTGTGTGGTGCGCACTGAACATATGTGGTATGACTTGAATGTGTGTGGTGCGCACTGAACATACAGTATGTGGTATGACTTGAATGTGTGTGGTGCGCACTGAACGTATGTGGTATGACTTGAATGTGTGTGGTGCGCACTGAACATGTGTGGTATGACTTGAATTTGTATGGTGTGCACTGAATACGAATGTGCTGGTCTGCTGGAAACCCATACCAATGGGACACGAATCAATATCAAATAGCGGGAAAGTGGAGTTATTCAACATAGATTTGGCATTAACAAGTAAAAAATGACCGTAATATACATCAATTTTTATACAACTTGCATACATATTCATTAAACATCTTAAACTATTGCCGATGCGTCGCAAACGGTAAGTTCCCAAACAGGGTGCGGCAATTTGTACGAATTTAGAACGCATGGGCGTGGCGAAGGCGAATCTTCGCCGGAATGCCAGCAAAGTTATCACGCTTGAGCTCATCCTCTATCACACAAATTCAGAGATGCATTGAAAGTGAAACGTCAGTTGCTGTGGGCTCAATCCTTATTGACAGATAGACTTGAGCGCCATGTGTGCATTCGTGTCCTACTCGTGATCCTTCTGCCCGCTCCCGTTCTACAAAGGTTCCGAGATGTAAACAAATATTTCGGTACCTAGTTAAAAATTTCCGGGCCAGGTTGCGCGTATGACTTTCGAGTTTGAGTTTGACCTTGCAGCTTTCATTCTTCACGTGCCTACACAACAATGACTAGCCTTGTGCTGTTATACCATGGATGTTAACAATCTAGTTTTCTCTAAGCTTAAAATGTTTGAATTAATGACAAATGATAAACCCTAACACCTTGTGGAACATACTTAGCCTCTTCAGGGCGAAGGATGAGTACCTTATATCGCAGAGATTATAGAGCAGTAGCTCAAGTAACAAGCTGTAAATTATATAGTCTTTTGAATGAGGAGATTCCCAATTCACGTGCCTCCAATTGCCCGCTTGATGAACCAGGCACATGTACCGGGAGCGAACGTACCCTTTGCCGGTTCGCTATTCCATCGATCCCTTCATGCTTTTTGCCAGTCGGGCTTACCGACTAGCCAAAGAACAATTTAGTATAAATTAGTGCTCAATCGTCGAAAAACCTCAAATTGATTCTACTTTTAATCCGTATCCGTGTATTTCTGGAATAGCAACGTCATACATAGAGCGCCTCAGCCTAGACCTGATCGAGGTAAAATAAAGTGTTCCCATAAGCAGTTATTTCTATACGTGTTATTAATAACTTTGTTTCGTTGAGTATATCATGAACAAACCTTTCATTTATTGACTAAGCTATTCAGAATGCCGATAGTTGAATTGAATTTCTTCATTCAGCGTAGCTATTTGACAGTTTATTAATAATTTTAGGGTTTCGCTGAGAAACGAATTAAAGGATGGCTAAAACTGGATGCTGATTATTCCTTTCTAAATTTGAGACATCTCTCTTTCTCGTTCTGTTATGAGTGTTAATCTGGAACACATATTTAAAAAATTCATAGTAGCGCTTGAAGCTAACCATAGCTCACATGCTTCCATCCCAGTTTTATTATTAATATTAGCTTCCGAAGTCTTGCTAAAAGAATGTGCTGGCTTGATAACCATATTTTTTAGCTTTGTTCGTATCGTTTCACATTTAATTTCATTTAAATCTTATGGGGCCGCAGCTTTTGCGTTTTCGCCTGTCATGCGATGTATTCTGAATTTAAATTTTTACGTTTTATTTAACAACATCATGTCTTTCACCTAAATAGAAAATTCAAATCAATGCGATAATATAAAATTGTTCGTGATTATGATAGTTTAAAAATATTAAATTTTCACTACAATACTCTGCTTTCAGCATTCTAAATAATGTAGGAGTAATTCAAATTTTCAGTAACGAACGAAATGCTTATAGAACGTTAGCTTGCATATATTGTTAGATAATAATTCTGAAAAAGATTTTTTCAATGTGAATAGAGAGATTCTACCTCTCCTCCTGCAACCCGGTTAAGCTTGTTAATTAAGTTATGTACACTATGCAATGTGCATCGTCGTATGTCAGTATGGTGCCACGGAACTCATGTATCTGATTTACAGAGTAAAAAGGCAAAATTTATCGTCCTGGGCCCATACTTTCAAAAAAAGTTAAGAGATCGTAAGTTCATCAGCCAATTATTGATGGCCTTTCAAGCAAAATCCACCAATCATAGACAAGAAAATAGAGCGTAAGTACTTACGTTCACTTAGCGAGTTTTGAAAGTATGGCCCCTGGAAATCTACTCACTTGACCACCCCATCGAGATTAACGCATTAACGCAGGATATTCGGACGCCCCGCCCATTTCTGATAGTTATTCCCAAAGGTTAGTTTCCATCTCCAGTGCTTCCAACTTCAAAATGTAGGATATTTTTTTAGCCAAAGCCCTATATGAATAATATTTTTAGTTCTCATCCACTTAAAATTTTCGTACATAGGTTTGTACTTTATGGTTCACTTTCCGCTGCTTGGGTCAATTTCGATTATAAAATCTACTGTGGTATAAATCGCTAAATTAATTATACTTTATTCCTAACTTTTCGAACTTCCGCTGGAGTTAAACTTCGAAAGATTTTCTATGATAATATAGGCGATAGTCTATGCCATATCTTCGCTGTTAAATTATAAATTCATCACACTGTTTTCAATGATTGAAGAAATTTTTTCAATTGTATAATGAAACTATTCAAAATTTATCGGAACATGGTACGAAATTTTCTATACCCAATTCTGGGAGTATAATTCATATGTTTTAAATCATTTGTCTCATATTAAAAATTTCAAACTAATTATGGAAGCATAACTAAGGACAGACGGAAAGTTCAGTGGACTCGGTTCGTGAATGCTATAAAAACGGTTATATTAACAGATATGCAATGCGAAAAAAATTCGCGGCAAATTTAGGGTAAATTGTCCGTAAATTGCAATTTAATGTTAAAACATTCGTGTGAGCAACTGAATTGTACATGTCGAGAAAATAATGTCTCTTTACTAACATCAAATGTTCTTGCCTGGCACATGAGTCGATAATCAATGTGACAGAGGAAAATTCTATTAATAAATTTAAATTAAAGTCTTGTGTAAATGTCAAGATATTTCTTAATAACGTTTGGTTCGACTAAGGAATAATAGAGAAACGCTTGAGCATTAATGACGAACTTCTTGCGAAACGCATTCGCTTCCCGTCGCCGAATCAGGGATATCAACCACGTATCCCTGGCATTTGATGAATTTTGCAGGAACGAACAAGAGATTTGCCACGAACAACGGCAGGCACAATTACATCGCTATTGTTGACCTCGGTACGCGTATCGACTTATTGACTCATCCCGCATGGCCTTCCCCGCCCCTCTCTACCTCTTCTGTACCGCGCAATCAATATCTGATTGCGTGTCATGATTGAAGGATTGGGTGATTTCATTGAGCGTTATTATGATCGACGGCCTCCTTCTGATGACGCCTGTTGATCAGTTACCGGGTCTTCCTTATCATTAATCGGAATGCAGCCAGCCGTCCACTGCATGGGCTCGTGCCTTATACACCCTCGTGGCTCGAGCTTTCCCACTACTGGGCTGGAGTCTCTACCCTTTTGTAATCGTACCTTCCATTCAATAGATTCATACATTTCATACACAGGGTTTGTGTGCAAATCACACTGATCATTTTACAGTTCGCCCAATTCTGGGCAAATATCACTGTCCTTAAACAGTAGTAACCATTCCTGGCTAAGAACGCCGTCATCTTTACAGCTCTTACTATTCCTGTGAAATTTTACTTTCGCTTTTACAGTTCCCACCATTACAGACAAATATCCCCGGTCGTTATTTATAGTCCTCACCTTTCAGCCAGATTTCACCGTCCCTTCTACAGTTCTTACCGTTCCAGGCAAATATCCACGTTCCTTTTACAGTTCACTTAATTCCAGGCAAATGTCGCTGTCCTTCACGCTGCTCCCACACATGAAAATATTCTCGTTTAGATTTGTCGGGTCGATGTAATTTGCAGTTGTTGCACGATAGCGGCCATGCGATGCGTGATATTCAACAGAAGGAAACGAAGGTCGCTACATAGAGGAGCTTGTTCCAATGCTACGTGCCTGTAGAAAAAGACATAATGAAGCAGATTATTTCGAGAATGTGTAAATGGTTGTGGGAAGTAATGTCATTTATTGGAGTAAGAAGGACGAAAAATGTGTCGGTAGGTATATGGTGGGTATTAATGGGCTTGACATTTTTACTCGTTTACTTTTTAACGTGCGCTATTGGACAGCTCTAAAAATAGATATAAATAATCTAGTTAAAAGGGTGAGAATGCTAGTAACGTATTACATATGAATGCCGGACGTCTATACGTATGAATCGAAATCAATCGAAATTGCAGCACTTATGTACCTACTATGAACAATAAAAGGAATAAGATATGAACATGTTCTTTTTTACTGTTTTTTATGAATCAAAACTGCATTGATGTTTTCAAAAGTCCAACGACAAGATATTCACATCACAAAATGACATGTATATACCGTACACCTCACAGGTGACATTATAAAGATATAGTGAAAATTACACATATAGTACTATATACACATATAGCGCACTTCAACCGTAAATTGGTTGTCCGGGTTAGCGCTGGTAGATAGTACAGCAGGCTCAAATTAGCGCTGGTAGATAGTATAGCAGGCTCAGGTTAGCGCTGGTAGATAGTATAGCAGGCTCAGGTTAGCGCTGGTAGATAGTATAGAGGTTAGCGCTGGTAGATCGTATAGCAGGCTCTGGTTAGCGCTGGTAGCTAGTATAGCAGGCTCTGGTTAGCGCTGGTAGATCGTATAGCAGGCTCTGGTTAGCGCTGGTAGATCGTATAGCAGGCTCTGGTTTGTGAGAAATTATAAATTTCTCACCGATTATTTCTGTCATTTCCAAGCTAAATATTATTTCCAAACAATCTTTCATAATAATGAAGGTAATATTGAATTATTTATTTCCGACGCAGTGCGGTTGCCTCTTGTCCAGCTTGTGCGGACAAGTCAATGTCCGAGACTGGGCGAACAAGCTCGTGAGATTTCTTAGATTGTTCCGAGCGGTGGTCGTCACTCTGTGATACTTACGAACTACAGTTTTGTGCCGCCAACTAATCAGTGTCTCCAGAAGCATTATAATCGTCTTTCATTAAGTATTTCTCAAACTTCCTATAATCCTGATTCGCTGTCCCTTATTTTGTGCGAATGCCGTGTCATTTTCATTTTGTTTGGTTTGCATTAACTATGCTTATTTTTGCTCCTGTGGGAAGTTGGACACATTTTTTAAGTGTATCATTTTAAGTAAATTTATTTCAAATTAATATCTAATATATTGCAAATCTATATCAAAGTTTAGGTTTATTTTAAATATATATATTGAATTTATTCCGATATCTATATCAAAATATATATCAAAGTTGTAATGATTTAACTTATTAACTTAGATTATTTGAAGCTGATGTTTTGGCAACATCTCCCGAACCATAGAAAAGGCTTGCTTCCAGGTTTGGTTTATTCGTTGTAACTTGGGCAGTCGGCCGCTTGTACCTATGGTAAGCGCTTAGATTTTCTATTGAATAATAGAATGTGTACTTGAGATTAACTGTTGTAAGAGTTGCGTTATAATTGTTTGATATCTTGTTACTAGTACTGTGTATTTAAGCATGTGATTATTTAATTGTAGGTATAAGAAGCCTGGAGTACTTCCCTCCTCTGTCGCTTCGTTCCTGCTTCTCGACTCCTTCAATAAAACTACGTCTGAACCGGATTCTGTTAAAACCTACAAGCACAAGAAATTGGTTGGCACTTAGTTATAGGCGGAACCTATAATGAAAGGAACCCGTTGACGTCATTACAAAAGTTATTAAATATACTACGGTTGTTAAATATATATCAAATTAAATAAAATATTTTAAATCATTTCAAAGTATAATTGAAGTTTATCAATTATCAATAGATCTATTTTTGCCAGAAATGGGGTCGTGCAATTCACGATGGCAGTTGGCTATACTGTTTCGGAATGTGCAATCCTAATTTAAGTCTTTCATCTTCTTTCAACACGCAGTGAAACCTTTAGCTATTCTTGCTGTCTTTTTCCGTCCAACTTCCCACTCCTCTAACTGATTTCCTCTAAATTTCTCGAATTAAACTCTTCATTCATTCCATTTTCGTAAAGTCATAACACTGGGCATTAAAAACCTCAGGTCAGTCGAAGGATTTTTGAGTTAATTTGATATTTGCTGCTGAAATTGCTGTTTATTAATTTTATAGTAAAATCCTGTATGAACCTGACCGAGATTATGTTTATGTCTTTTTAGTATCAACGTTCTCAAGTTTCGGGTCCAGTGCTGTCGATGAGCCTTTCCTTCTTGCTGCTTTGTTTCTTATACGTGACGTCTACGTCTGGCGTCATGGCTACGTCGCAGCACCTAGGAGACCCCATCTGGAGCCCGTTGAACTTTTGCCAAGCTCGGAGCAAGCCAACCTTATTTTATTCGTCGCTATTGTTTACCAAATTTTCACTTCCTCGTAACTGCTACCAGGAGGATGAACAAGTAAATAAATGAAAACCTTACAATTCGTTTTGGCCATTACTAAGAGCGCCGTTGATGCTTCCAGCCAATTTTACTTCTTTTGAATTCGTTTGATCAAATAAAAATTTGAATACAAACTCGACTGTGTGAATCCTTACAGGTTAGCGCTGGTAGATAATATAGCAGGCTCACGTTAGCGCTGGTAGATAGTATAGCAGGCTCAGGTTAGCGCTGGTAGATAGTATAGCAGGCTGAGGTTATCGCTGGTAGATCGTATAGCAGGCTCAGGTTAGCGCTGGTAGATCGTATAGCAGGCTCAGGTTAGCGCTGGTAGATCGTACAGCAGGCTGAGGTTAGCGCTGGTAGATCGTACAGCAGGCTCAGGTTAGCGCTGGTAGATCGTACAGCAGGCTGAGGTTAGCGCTGGTAGATAGTATAGCAGGCTCAGGTTAGCGCTGGTAGCTCGTATAGCAGGCTCAAGTTAGCGCTTGTAGATAGTTTAACAGGCTCAGGTTAGCGCTGGTAGATAACATAGCAGACTCCACGAACTCCCATTATTTATGATCATCAACGTTGGGAGTGACTGCGATCTATTGTAGCGTGAATTTCGTAAAATCTTTCTGTTCTTTGTTACTATTCATTGTTGCTATAGAAAGTCGATTGCTGCAGCGATACCTTTCATGATCTCTCAATTTGGTTGGCGTGTAAGCCTTGGAAGCTTGTGGTACCATAAAGGTATTGGCGATACCCTATAGTTTAAATTTCTATTCTGTAGAATAACATAATCACCAACGTGTTTGATATGTATGGGATAAATATTGGAATGCACAGTGCACACCTAATAGATTTTTACTTGTGGTGAAGCCTAGCTTAGTTAGAAGGTTTAACGTATTTAAGGGTTATTACAGGTAGACGTGGGCACCAGGTTTACCATCTACATCAAGATTAAGTGCATTTTAAATGATATTCTTCGAACTTCCCACTGAAGCAGAAAGTTTGAAAGGAACAAGCATCATTTGAAAACTTACCGAAGTTTCATGGAATCAAGGAGTTCGCGTTTGTCGAGAACAAATCTACCAATTCTTCAAATGCGGAATTATATGTTTTTACTTTTAATGTTAGTTCATGTGTTTTATACTATGATTTCGTTGTGTCGGATAAGGGAGATTGCTTTTGTATAGAATGTCAACCTGTCTTGTCGGAAGGTAACAACGCTTACTTTAATAAGAAAGCAAGGTTTTTATTTTTTTGCTCTAAGTAAAACTTTGTACCCTCTTGATTCTAGTTAGCTCATATTCCACAATCTCTTCAACAGTTGACGTTGATAGTCCATATATATTGGGGGATTATTTACACGTTATTTGAATAGGTTTAAACGCCGAATAATCTTCTTTATGAAGATTATTCGAATAATAATCCGAGTAATCTCTCATCGTCTCCGACGGCTCATTGTAAATCCGAACGGCTCCGAATAAAAGGCGAGGAAGATAGTGCGCCTTAGTTCTGATATCTGGCCAGTGTATACTGACTGTAAAGGCGTTGCGTTGCTTGAAAATAAAGGAAAACTTAACGGAAACCAAACAGAACATCAAAATAGAATTGCTGATAGTAATTTTAATAAAGAGAATGATTTCCATCCGAGGTGCGTGTACAGATAATGTCTTTCTTCAAATGCCAGACGCAGGATATTCATGAACGAACAGGTGCCTCGTCGCACGCGTACTTTTTACCGTGACTGAGGCCATGCATTGATTATTGGGGGCGGAATTCCCCGCCAGTCTTCAATTGACGTCTTACCTTCAGAATTAATGGTGATTGGTTCTATGAAGGCTTCATTTGATTTTAAAATTTGGCCTGAGGCACTGAATTCTTGTCAGTTTGAAAAATGAATGAATGAACTTGGAATTGCGGTAACCTGATTTGCATTGTATAGTTTATTAAATATGATTATGTGGTATTTCACTTTCATTCCAGAATATCAAGCTTGGGTAAATGGCAATTAGTGCACAAATCTGTATATGACTATTCAATGGTCAGCATTTTAATAAACAAATTGCAGTCAGGCACTGACGCTTGAATTGTTAGTGTTGAATGTTGCTAAATTAATGTGCTGCAGGTTGTGGACAAGAGCATACAACTAAGTGTTGTTGATAATTGATGTAAAATTAATGTGTTTAGGTTGTGGTCAAGATCATACATCTAAGTGTTGGTGATGAATGATGTAAAATTGATGTGTTGCAGGTTGTGCTCAATATCAAACATCCAAGTGTTGGTGGTAAATGATGTGAAATTAATGTGTTGCAGGTTGTGCTCAATATCAAACATCCAAGTGTTGGTGGTAAATGATGTAAAATTAATGTGTTGCAGGTTGTGCTCAATATCAAACATCTAAGTGTTGGTGGTAAATGATGTGAAATTGATGTGTTGCAGGTTGTGGTCAACATCAAACATCTAAGTGTTGGTGGTAAATGATGTGAAATTAATGTGTTGCAGGTTGTGCTCAATATCAAACATCTAAGTGTTGGTTGTAAATGATGCAAAATTAATGTGTTGCAGGTTGTGGTCAACATCAAACATCTAAGTGTTGGTGGTAAATGATG